GTTCCGTCACATAATCATATATTTTAATCTAATAGTAATCTTTTGTTTCAAGATTAGTTTTATTTTCTGATTAGACTTTTTTGTTATATTACTAAGTTTTTCTAAAGAAAAAGAAAAGAAAATAAAGAATTGCTTTTCTATTATTTTGAGTTTATCAAACTTGATTGAGATATTTCTTTTTATATTAATAGAAATATAAAGTTTATCAAGCTTTTCCAAAAAGACATTGATTATTACAAATAATGAAATATTATTCAGAATAATCTGGATGTTCTTTTATCTTGTTTATCTTGTAAAACCTTTGAGTAATATAATAAAATGAAAAAGCTTTTTTTTTAATATCGAAATAAGCAATATCTTATTCTTAATAGAGTTGCAAGTCTGTTTTTCAGAAAATACTTTATTATTATTATATTAATATATTTGTTTTTTCTTTTTTTAAAAGACTCGGGATTATATATAGTTTGGCGGGCCTAAAGAATTCTATTATTTAGATTTTATACTTCAATAATTAATATATTATTTTATTAAAATTGTATTAATATTTTTACAAACTGAACTTGGATTATAATAAGGTTTTTTTTAATAATTGTATAAGTAATATATTCTTTTTGAATATTTGTTTACTTTATTTCGAGGTTTATTTTAGTCTTGTATTATTGTATAACAATATTCTTGAATATTGAAAACAAATATTTGATATAAAGTCTGATAGGCAATTTATTAGTTTTATTAGCAAATAGCTAAATTAATAGATTTGGGTTCAATATATTGGATCGATTCAAAAATATATTAGTAATAAAGGGACTTTTATAGAAAATAATATAAATATAAGTTTTAAGATTATTAGATGTTTTGATATCTGTAGTAGTAGATATACTTATATTAATAATATTTGTTAGAATAATCTATAAATCTTTAGTATTATCTATTATGAAATGAAAATAGAATTCAAAGTTCTTAAGTTTTGTAATATCAAAATATTTATAATATCAAGGTATTTGTAATATTAATGTTTTTATAAAATTAAATTATTCAAGTTCACTTTTTATTAAATAATCAATTGTATTATATAATAAATAATAATCCCATAAGTTTTTTGTAAAATAAAAGAATCAAGATTAGGCTGATTAATAGTGGAGCCTTTTGAAGAATTGAATATATTATTACAAAGTTAATATAGGTTTTGATAGATACTAGATATAATATATAATATTCGATAAGGAGAGGAGGCACGTAAAGTAATAACAATTATATGGTGGATAGATGCCTAAGATATCCATCCGAGCTAGTTAGGAATGGGTAGTGAACCCGTGACAATTTAGTTACCAAGTTTGAAAGTTTTATATTATAATATTAGACTTTTATTATAAGGTTGAAAAGTTGAATAAATGATGGTTTTTGGTGCGAAATCGCTAGGTGTGCGATGAGTAATGGCCAGAACTCTTACGATACCAAGTTATGTATATAGCATGTTCCTTACCAGTAAGATGGACAAATTTTCACCTCTCATCCTATCAAATATACATCGAACAATTATTGGTATTCTACTCTGAATGCTAACTACACAATCCATCCATACAATTTTCCCACCCCAAAAACGCCACTCCAACCACACAATTACTTACAACCAAATCACCACTACCACATATTCCTCTTCTTACTATGTTCTGCCCCTCTCTCCTTTCTCCTCTCCTTCTTCCTCTCTCCCTTTCTCCTCTTTTCCTCCCCAAACTTCTCCGGTTGACTCACAGCCGCAATCTTCCTCTTCCCACTTCTCGCCGCTCTCCTCTCTTTGACACCCTCTCTAACCTTCAAGAGTGCTTCTGAATATTCTTGAGTACCAACTTTACGTTTCAACGTCTCGAGTAATTCCTCACTCGATGTTTTCAAGGCTTCGTAATTGGTGCGGAAGAGGTCGTCGGTGGAGTAGGGCATGGGGATTGAGGGATCGGTGATATTGTGGAGGGGGAGAATGATGGTTCGAAGGGAGGGGACGAGCTGTTCTGATTCGAGCTTGCTGCAGAGTATTTGTAAGAGTTGCAGTGAAGAAGTCTTGGGGACCAGTGCGGAAGCTCGAGGAGGAGATGTTTCTCTTCTCAATAGGAACGATAAGCGACCGAAAAGATACTGTAAAGCTGTATTCTGAACAGGCCCTCCCTCGTCCTCCAGATCTTCAGCTTCTTCTTCCGCGTCGCCTTTTTGACTTGACTTCCACTTCAGAAGATTCGATGCGGCACAGCGACCGAGAAATATGAGGTTCTTCACAATTTCTTCCGCGAGTAGTTCGGTGAGCCCGGGTGTTTTGAGCATTGCTACTATGCGGCGAATGAAATCAGAAATGTCATCGCCAGGGAGTTTGAGGCCGCGAGATCCCTTCAGAGGCAAGCCTTCAAGGCCAGCTTCAGCGTTGGTTCTCGCAAAGTCTGCAAAGTATGTGCTAATAAGTCGTGCAGCAGATAATTTGACCCATGCATGAGGGTATGATAGGCATACTCTTACAGCGGACCATAAAGCCGATGTCTTAGAAGACAAAAGTGCATCGGGAAACTTCTGACACATAGTTGTAGTGAGCTGGAGGGCTGCGTAGATCAACTCCCAGTCCGCCTCGTGATCGTTCGCAGTACCGATAGTCTCTGAAACAGAGGCGAGTAGGATTTTAACATCCGTATCCTCCACTTCGGATTGAGAATTGTAGTAGAAGCCATACGTTTGTAAAGCCAATCGAACAACTGAAGTATTCTCGGTTTGTTTGATCCATGATCGGAGAAGAGCGAGGAAACTCGTCGTGCGTTCTTGATCGGCTCTCTTGAAAATCTCCTTGAGAACTTCTCCGGCTGCCATACGACACTTCTCACTGTCATCGTTGGCGAGAACAAATATCAACGGCACAAAACATGTTGCTGAAACCTCTTGTACGAAGTCATGCGAGGACTTTGATAATAGTAGATGGATGACTTCGAGTATCGACAATCTTCCACCTTCTCTCTCGTACTTCAGATTTGCAATGATAAATGCCAACTGCTTCGTCCATCGACTCTTCTTCTGTGGGAAATCTCGAAGGAAATGGAAATATGCACCACGCGCCAAATCTCTAGTATCTTTATCATCATTTGTTACCATCACTGTGCCGACATAGTCAAGGGTGTCGTATACTACGGCAGTCTCAACCTTAGAATCCAACACAGCTCTCAAGAAATTGAAAGTAACATGTCGTCGCTCTGGTTCTGTCATATCATCCTTCATTCTCTCGAGTGTATCGTCAACTGACCTATCCTTAACGGGAACATCTTTACGGTCTCTGAGAACAGCCGAGATCAACTTCAGAGCAGCTTGAGCAACATCCGAAGTGGTTGAAGAAGATCCGGATATGCATTTGATAGCTTCAGCCGTGGCGACTCGGTAAAGATTGGTGCCATCACTGTCGACCTTCAGCGGAACCTTCACAATTGTACTGAGCAATTTAAAGGTCGCGACTTTGATTTCCTCTTCTCCTTGAGAAATTGCATCGCCAATGATTGGAATGAAGCCTGCAAGATTGCTGGGTGTTCGAAGACTATCGTGCTTCTTGAGAACAGATCTCATAACATCAAAGGCAAATCTAACAAGCTTGTATGTGTAGATGGTTGTAGCACCGCGGTCTCCACCTCTCTTGGCACCCTTTTGTAGTAAATAACGTTTGAGTCTGTAATCATCCCTGCCTCGTTTTGCTTGAGGCTTCTGGCTGTTGTATACGTCCTGTATAACTTCGTAGCAAAAGACGAGACTATCACGACTTCCAGCGGCTGTGTTTTTGAGCAATCCAGAACTGATCCTGTTCAGGAGTTCATCAATTTTTCGTACCATGCGAATGTTTAGCTTCTCCTTTAATAGTACTCGAATCGGATGGATTAAATCGGTCAGGCGGCTAAGCGTAGCTGTCTTGGCAATCAATTCCATAGAATCATGACTTTTACTACTCTTAACTTCCTTCATCTTGCTGATGTATCCGTCCTCATCCTTCTCCTGCCCAACAGCACCAAAGATGTCATCCATGATGATGGCGACGATTGAAGGCAAGCAGTAATCAAGATCACCCGGAGCATACTCTGGTGTTGTGGCTACCAACATGGAATGCATTGTGTAGGAAAGCACATGAAGTTGGGAACCTCGGGCCAAAGCACTTCGAAGCTCTTTCAGAATAAAGCCAAAACAGGATGGACCAAGTAAAGCGCAGATTTTTACCAGGGTATCTCTAGTCAAGTCTCGAGATTCTTGTGCTTTACTTCGAAGGATATGACAAATGTCAGTTAAAACTGCTGGAAGTCGTTCGTTCATTTTCTCTTGTGGCAATAGTTGAAGTAGCCTAACAACGATGATCGCAACAGGAACACGCAAGCTGACAGTCGATTCATCTTTGTCATGGAGGTAATCCGTCAAAGGTGGTAAGATGTTGGAAGTAAGATCATCTGAAAACTTCGGTTCTTTGGGCATCGTAGTAGCCAACTTGCTTCGAACCTTGGGAATATCAGTTTCCATGTCCGTATCGACGGGAGGCTGTGCTGCAAGGGCCAGCGCATCGATAACTCTGCCGAGTAGACGGATGATTTGTTTCTCGAGATCAGGCTTGGCCTGAACATATCCAATGAACCGTTTCAGCATGGCACGATACTGTGGCCACTCCAGCGAACCTGCAAGGACTCCGACGGTAGTTGTAGCTTCGGCGGCAAGGTTGTGCCCATCATTGCCCTCGGCTCTGTCGAAAATAAAATGTTCGATAAGAGGGATGAAGAAATGGCCAACGTTCTTGCTGCTTAACTCTCCCTTCTCCGCAGCAGACGAAAGGAGTCCCAACGCACTAGACTGTCGGCCTTTACCTGCTGCGATAATGTTGTTGAAGAATGAAGATTCCACCTCATCTTCACCAGCCAAGAGATTGTGCATATCGCTGACTTCAGACCATTCCGGGAAGTTACGGATCAAATGAGCCATAACTTTCATATACTCGCGACGGATAATTTCTGAAGGTTCACGAACGCCAACAAATAGGGCCGGAATCAGGATGGTGGAGAGCATGTTTTGGAAGGCCGGGAAATCAGAATTTGATTTTGCATCTTTGGCTGTTTCGATGAATCGACAAATGCCATCAGAAGAATTCGATGACAATATTCCAAACTCCTCGTCATGCTTGATATAGAATAACATGTTGAAAAGTAGCGGTGTCCATTGATACGAATTAAAGTCGAGATCTCTTTTGGCGTTGATGGCGTTGAAAGCCTTCAATCGGCGATCATAATCAGGTTCGTCAAGTCTTCCTTCAGCAAAGGAATTGAGATCTAAACATAGTCCAGCGACTTCCTTCAAAACGGGATCGTTATCCGAGTAGACTAAGAGCACTCGTGATAAGACCTCCCTACTAATCTTATCTTTAAAGAAGCCGAATAGCGAAGTGACAGTATGGTAAACCCGATCCTTGAGGTCCGCGTCATTTTGGAGGTCGTAGAGAGGCACAAAGTGCTCCAAAACCAGAAGCAACCCGGCTTTGGTTTTGGGAGTAACCCTCCGTGAGGGTTGATCAAGTAAGAACACCGATACATCAACCAAGTTGCGACCTTGTGTCGAGTTCGTGACAAAAGGTGCTAACTCAGAGACAGTTTCAACACAACCTTCTAATAAATCCTTGCTCATATCGTTTTGGTTGCGAAGAATTCCACCTATTTGAATGAGGAAGTGATCCATATTTGGTGTTAAAAGCTGTTCCTTTACAAGTTCGTTCCCTCCTACTGCTTGCTCTCGTGCACACTTAACGACACCCTTGATAATGGAAAGAGCGAAAAGTTTGACTTCATCCTTAGATTTAGGAGGTGATAGACACTCTGCCACCTTTGGCAAGATTTTTTCGTGGCTACCGAGGAGTGATACCGTCTTCATTGAGCCTGACCACGCCGAGAACAGTCGGAGAAGGCCGGAGATACCCTGCGCAGTTTCAATTGGTAGGTTGTCGAGTCTTGGTAAAACAATCTCGGCCACAATCAGATCCACATATGGAGACCAGTCGAAGTCTGCAGAATTGTTGAACAAGAGTATGAGACACTTCAGTCCAGTCTGTCGTACAACTTTGAACAGAGAGATTTTGCTGGTCTCTTCGTCATTTTCAGTTTCTTCGACCGACTCGCCCTGTAGCTGTCGGGAAGCTATTACCAAGCAGTACAAGACAGCTTCGAGCAACTTTCGGGTAAGAGGTACAACCTTCGTGGCTAACTCTTTCACCACTGATTCCATCATGTTTGTAAACCCAACTTGCTTCCTGGCACCCAATAACTCCTTGTCGAAAATTGACATCTGAATCACTCCATCCTTTATTAAGTCCAGATCTTTCAAATCACCGAGAGCAATGTCTAAAAATCCTCCAGTATCTTCAAGGCTCAGATTTCTTAGCACTGTCAACCTTCTTGCCTCCATACCTTGTTTCCCGCTGGCAGCACCCTTTCGAGAGATCGTGCGGCCATAGAGCAACCTGAGAAGGATTGGCATAAGGGCTTCTCGATGCTCCGGTTGAACCAAAGTCTGCCCCTGAAGAAGGATAGTAATCTCATCTTTAAAGCGAGCTTCATCGAGCAGATTCGAGAGGTTCTCCTGGTAGGGTCTGACGCTCTTGTTTTTCCATGTTAAGACGGCCTTTAGAGCAGCTTTCTGGATCTCGATGTCACCGTTTGCCAATAATTGCAGAAGTGCTTGGTAGACCTCATCCGACTTGAAGATAGACCTTGGATTGCCGAACAGGCCTAACACATCTAAGAGCCCCTTCTGGTCCTTCCTTGTCCAATCACTCACAGCTGCTATATCCCCATCGCCAGTCTGATCCATCTCCTCGGAAGTTTTGCTGGCCCAAGAAAGGAACATTGGAATGAGTTGTCGAGATCGTCTTTCGCCAATCATGGGAATTGCAGACAGAACACGAAGGGCCTGAGATCTGGCAGCGCTCGGCTGAGCATCGATCAATTGTTGAGCGACCTCAAATTTCTCAAGCATAGTGTCACGAGCATTGAGAACTTCCAAGTCGGCTTCGTGTGCAAGTTTGTCTAAGTTGTTAAGGTTGGAGCATTCAAAATCAGTCAAACCATTGCTTTGATCCTTTCCTACTGGTGCTGGAGGTCCACTCCATCTTACTGATGGTGTCTCCAGCCATTTGAATGCTAAGACAGCAACTGCCTCTTCCCCAACTTTGGTTTCAGCAATCTGTTTGAGAGCAGCACTAGCGTCGTCCCAAATTTGCGCCATCTTCACAGTAAGCATACCAAAACAAAATGATGGTATGGCATATTTCATCCAAGGTATGGTCATTTGTGAAGTATAAATGGAAGCAAGTTTGCGAATGTGCATGGAGGCAGAACGAGCAGATTGCAAATCCAAGGGCGTTTGCTCGATCATAATCATGAGTGTAATTGCTTCCGAAGATCCACCATGGTCGGTGTCATGGATATTCTCTAGTAGTCGCAGGGAAAGAAGGCGCAATTCGCCAGAGTCGGATGAAAGGTTCTCTACCAAAGATCGAACCAAGAGGTCGAATTCGGCTTCCGAGTCACTCGTATCTTCTTCGTCGCTCGCTTTCCCATTGTCAGGTTGAGGAGATAATAATTTGAGACTCGCCTTGTAACCTAAAAGAGCTTCTAGGAAACCTGGTAATCGAGCATACCGGGGCGCAGCTGCGCGTAACAATGGTTCCAGAGCCCTGTCGACTTCACCAGCTCCTTTGGTCATGCGAGAAAAGGAACTGAAGCCTCGACCAACAATAAAATGGGCTTCCTCTGGTGCGAGTGAAGAAGATGGCCTGAGCGCAAGTTTAAGCTTGCGGAGTAGGATTTCTGCAATTCTTGCGTTCGTCGAAGGGTGTACAGCAGTGCACTCCAATATTTCCAACAAAGCATTATATTTAGGCAAGCATCGATCATGCCATGTTTTTGGGCTACGGTTATAGGTGGCTGGTGATACCTGTTCGGGAAAAGGTTGTAGTTCTAGTCGTTCGAATTTACTGACAATCTGGTCCTGCCAAGATTGAGGTAGCGAAAATGCATCCTTTCCATATCGACTTGGGAGAACTCCTGATGATACCATTTTCGGTAATAACACGCACAACGTATCTCCATTTTCGGCATCAGACCAGTGTGTAACAATGAATCTAAGGTTACGTTAGTAAGCGATAATATTCCTTGAATAAGATGGACAAACCTCTGGAAGTAAGGCAACGCAATAATACGGAAGCGCTCTGGCTCTCCTTGCGACAAATAGGAGCAGAATGTCAAGAACCATTTTGCCAATGGATCCTTGGCTAAAGCATCCATGAAATGGGAGATAAAAGGGATGGTGGCATCCATTGGAGAATATGTAAGAGCAATAGCTGTGCTCTCTATGAGATACTTCCACAAATCCAGATGTTTGTCGTCGGTTGCCACTAAAGATGGGTTCTTAGAAACTGCTCGTAGTATATTAGATAACGCCTGGAGAAGGACTGGCCAATTCTGCACTCGCGAGGCTCGTCGAACACCGGCCACAATTCCTATTGTCCGGGCTGAGAGTAGAAGTTTGTTGAAATTATACATAGTCTTAGACTCTGTAAAGGAATCGGTAATAGTATTTGCCTCCTCCAATACAAGTTCTAGGATCTCTTTGATGGTCTCCGGGGTTGTATGATGAACGATGCTGGTTAGCACGCCACATATGACATCCACCCACGGCGAGGCCCCCTTTTCCCCAAAATCACTCTCATCAAGGGCTCGGAAAAGGGACTTGAAGATCGCTGGACCCGACGTATGTACACTCAATCCATTTCCCTTCATAGCCTCTGCGAACAAGGTCATTAATCCATGATAGTAAAGGCCAAATTGTTTGGTATCTGCGATACTCAGAAGATCTGATTTCGCGTGACGTACGATTAATGGAAGGGCCTTCTCTCTGTGTGCCGGTGCGCCAGCTTTTTTGATGAGAAAGCTCATGGCCTCCGCAGCGAAGCGGGCAATATGTGGAGGTTGACGATATTTTCCGAGTAATGGTGCCATTAAGTTATATGTTGGACGTAAATCTGGTACAATAAGTTTGGACAAATATTTGAACAGAAATGCGAGACATGTAAAGCTCCATTCTACAACTGCGACATCTTGAGGAGTTCCTGCTATCAATGTAACTAATTCCAGAGCTTTCGCATAGTGCTTTTCGAATCGAGGTCCTAAATCATGCGCAAAATCTGTAATTAACTCCAACAATGGCTCCAATGAATCCCTCTGCTTCTTCTCCATATAAGTGATGAAGAGGCCCATGATCTTATCCTCAAAATGTAGAATTTGCGGTAGACTGTCGCATAGTGGAAATACTTCCTCCGTAAATGAAATGAATTCAGACGATAAATTGAGTTCGGCCCATTTTTCCAAACTGGCTTTGAAGTATGAGGTTGTCGCGGAAATATCTTCGGCATCGAGGTCATGTCGGCGAACTCTTCGTAACGGGTCGAGGGAGTTTAGTTTCGAGATCTTGGTTGTGAAGGATTCCCATCGATGATTCTTTTGATGGGCAGTACCCTTTTTGCCCTTTCGGGTCTTAATGATCCTTCCGGAAGTTGTTGAAGGCATCGTAGAGTTATGTCGTCCCCATTCTACGATATCCGCTACATGGACATTCACAAGAGAACAGGGAAACTTTTATTTTTTTTACTTCAAACTACCTGACCGCCCGGCAAAAGGTCCCGCTCCCGCCTTACTGTTTGTGTACTAGTGTGACGCTAAGATAGCTTGGAGCTTTCTTATCGAAAAATCAACAATCGCATTGCAAAAGAAGTAAAATAACTCAAGGGAAGGAAATTCTGACTTCTGGAAGTAAATAATTGTATCTTGAACTTCAATCTTTGAGTTTTAATAGTAAATCTCCCTCCACGACCTTGATACTCAAAGATTAGTATGGCATCCAAGATGTAAGTGTTCTTTTCTGACAAATGCAACGAGATTTGGCTACCTCTATAAGCTTTTAAACCATCGCGGCATATTAACGTACCTCACTTTTGGGAAGTCAACTAACAGGTTGATAGAATTGTCCTTGGTGACATTAATGGTCAAATACGACATGCCTTTACAAAATTAACGTCGTTACAGCTCAAGAACAACTTTTGTCTTGCTATCGTGGCTGGAAACCTATTCGCAGGAGCTGAAGACACAGAAGCCGACGACACAGTTACAAACCTCATTTCAGGAAAGATACCCATACCATTGCCTACATATTTCACTGTCGGATCATCACCTCTGCCAGCAAGGATCATTGAGAAAATCGAGAAAGATGAGGAGGTGTGTTAGATGGCTTTTCAATTGTATACAAGATTAATTACTAATGCCTTTAGATATGTCCAAACCTACACTACCTCGCGAAAAGGAGTACTACAAAGACATCCGAAGGAATAAAAATAGTTGCGCTCGGCGGACAACTTGATGAGAACATAATTGGAGGGTTGTCTAAGGAATCGTATCTACCGTTCCATACCATTGGGGATGCAAAGGCTCTCCACGGAGCGCACACGACGGATATCCTTCTGACAACACTTTGGCCCAAATCGATTCGGGCAGGTTCTAAAGTTCAGATTCCCGATGACGCAAAAGATCCTATCGCTAGAGACCATATCGCAGATCTTTGCGCAGCTTTAAAACCTCGATACCATTTTTCTGTGTCTCCAGATCACTTTTTTGAGCGAGAACCCTTCTTTCACACCCCAACGCCAGATGCTCCCGATGTTCGACCTCTTACTCGATTCATATCTTTGGCTCCCCATGGAAATCCAAAGAAGCAGAAAGCTTTATATGCGTTCACGTTACAACCGACAATTGATCCACTTGCACCGTTGCCCGTTGGTACCACTGCATCACCATTTGTAACTCGACCAAACGAAAGGAAACGAGCAGCCCTCGAATCGGATCCTTATTCTAGATATGGTGGTGGAAATGATTATAAACGCGGCCGAGGACGCAAAGGTCAAAGACAACCACCTCCAGGACCTGGCGAATGTTTCTTCTGCCTTTCGAATCCAAATCTGGCTACTCATCTCATCTCCTCGATTGGTGATGAGGCATATTTGACAATTGCGAAAGGTCCTCTAACTACAGCTACCACCAATGCTTCTTTAGGCATCGACTTCCCTGCACACGCTCTGATTATCCCATTGACACATTCTCCCACACTGGCTTCAATTCCCGATGAGGAATCCCAACGAAAAACTTATACTGAAATGAACAGATTCAAAGAATCATTACAAAAGATGATTGCGCAACGCAGTGATAATAAACTCGGTGCTGTCACATACGAAATCAGCAAAGGAAATGGCGTACACACACACTGGCAATTCATCCCGATGCCTACCGAAACCATCCAAAGGGGTCTCGTCGAAGCCGCCTTCCGTGTCGAAGCCGAAAACCTCAATTACCCTCCTTTTGAGGTCCGAGATCCAGAAATTGGCCAAAATGAAGGGGATTTTTTCCGTGTTTGGATCTGGACACCTCCTACTGAAGAATCACCGGAAGGAAGTACGAAATGTATTACGATGCCATTTGACTGGAATGTTCGCTTCAATCTTCAATTCGGACGAACGGTTCTAGCTAAATTGTTGAGTTTGGAGAAGAGATATCAGTGGAGGGATTGTGCTCAAACGGAAGATGAGGAGAAGAACGACGCAGAGTCTTTCAAGGCGGCTTTCAAGGAGTTTGACTTCTCGCTTTGATTATTTATTATTTGAATTTGATATCCAAGGGGGTAGGCGCCTGCATGATTTGGGAGTCATTGCATATTTTTTAATCATTACATGCAAATATGCAATCCATTGTTCCTTGAGGAACTGGAAGGAAAACAGTATTAAGCTAGCATAGATATTTTTATGGTATTGGATGCATCAATGCATCGATGGTTGGGTATGCATAAATGGCGTTAAGGGAAAATATCTCTTCTTTTCGTTTTCAGACTTTCATCCAGGCAATGAGATATTGATATTGATAGGTACATACATCGTGGATATTGCACATACATAGTTATTATTCAATTGAGTTGAATTGAATAAATTCTTCACAGCTGCAGAGACCAGCTCTTTCATGTCATTCTCTTGATACTACTGCTTACTCTATTTATATACTCGATTCTTTTCTTCTCAGATCTTTTCTATTTCACTAGTATACATATTCTAACGCCCTGTCTACCCCTTAATATGTATACCCACTCTCTCTCCTACCTCTCCCATCCCCCCCTTCCCCTCAATCCTCTCCCATCTCCTCCCCTCAACCCTCTCAACCCCCAGATCACCACCATACAACCATCTACTCGCCCTTGCCCTTGCCCCCACTCCCACCCCCACCCCCTCCGCTGGTAAATCCAAATTTTGATCCTGCTTTATATTCTTCATTTCTCATTCCCATTCCTCTTTCCTCCTCCATTTCTCTTTCCTTACTGTTTCTTTTCACACATTTCCCATTTCCCCTTCCTCTTCCTTCTTCCTCCCATTTTACTCTTCCTCCCCTCTTCCTTTCCAAGCATCTATATATATTTAGTTAATAACAATCTATCTTACCATAAGCGAATCCCTCAGAAGCCATATATCCCTGGCCCCGTTCTAAACCATAAATATATATCCAATACAAACATGCAAAAAGAAGATCAGTTCGCCGGCACATTTGATAATTCACTACACACTCGGTCGGAATCATATCCTCATATACACAGAAGCCTGGAGGTAGGTTATCGTTACTATGAAATCAAAACAGAGACTGGGAACTAACTGACTTCTTTGATCAGGGTAAGTTGGAAGTTGTAAAGTTACAATTATACAGTTTTACAAGAGAGAATATGAAATTATGAGAGTGATCGGAGGCTAATTATGTTTATTCGCTGCCTGTGAGTATGATATGATGTAGGTAGTAAGTAGACTGAATCAATTTTGGAGAGGGGGGAGGAGGTTTCCATAACCTAGATGTGCACTGGAAACAAGAATTAGAGATCTAGATTTCTCTTCAATCAAGATAGATAGATATATTATATGACGGAGTTCAAGAAAACCCATTGAATTCATATCTCACCAATAAGATATATAACAAAAATATCAAGAAATCTTTTGGCTTTTGGAATTAAGTTCTCTTCTACAGATATGCAACAAAAGTTCAAGAATACCCATTGAATTCATATCTCACCAAATAGATGTGCAACCAAATTTCAAGAAAATATTTTGAATTAAGTTCTCCTAGTAGATATGTAACAAACAAAGTGATCTTTCTGGTTATAGAATTGACTTCTCTTCAACCCAGGCATGCAACCAAATTCAAGACTACTGGTCTGATTAGCTAAATAGCACTCAAGATCATTTGGTGTACGAGGTATTCAGGTACCGGTGTCCATTCAGTGGTACAGTTGGAATCAGACTGCAACTCGAAATATAACAACAGTTGCTCTGCCCAGATGTATAAATGACTTGCGCTATTGTATGAGTGAGTAGTGATGGTATATCTTTAAAGGAGTACGGCATAGATGTAGATTTGACTTCTCTGGTTTCTACTCGAGTACACATATTTGGATGAATCTGTCGTCGGCCAAGTCAGGATGGCTTGGGAGTTTGGATGGGGATGCATTTGCTTACTTATGACGACTCACTTGATGGTTTTGGGACTCTTTTATTGCCAGGTGTGATGGATGGAGGAAACAGGAAGGGGGAATGGGAGAGCAGGAGTAAGGATTGATAATGAGGTGAAGATGTTGTTTTCACTGTAGTGGGGTTATGGGGGATAAGGGGGTGGAGGGGGTGGAGGGGGTGGAGGGGGTGGAGAGATGGGTACTCGAGTGGTGGATGGAGTATTCGAAATCTCGTTGAGTATATTTGATATTTTGGTGATTCCTCGCTCGGTCTACCATTTTTCTGTTAATACCTTTAGCCCGATGGATGGTTCGTTTGTTTGATACGGTGATGATAGGGAGTAGTAGCAAAATAGATGCACAATATTATCATTCAGTTGAATAATTTTGAATGGTTCTCTCTTACTTACCTACCCCACCACCTATTTCAATCAGCGCCAGGGCAAAAAGAACCCCTAAAAGCACTAACATCATAATAATAATAAAAGCAAAAAGAAAATCAATTGTCCTCGGAGAGACTCGAACTCTCGACCTTTGGATGGCTAAAGTGACTGTTTTCAATCACCTCATATAAGAATATGAGACCAACGCTCTAACCAACTGAGCCACGAAGACTTGCTATTGATTTTAGATGCTGAGAGGTACTCTACTTCACACTAATACTATACTAATAAAGTGGGGTGGGTATGAAGAGTTTTCCTTTCTCCCGTTTGTTGGGCCCGCTGCACTTGTATCAGTCGGGTTACAATCTGGCGGGGTTGCTCCGCATGCATGCACTATCTGATCACCCGGGTTTGTGTTCACCAATAAATTAGAAGGTGAGGTTTTGGGTTTTTGAAGGTTTAAACTGTTGGCAGTCTGATATTAGCCGTTGGCGGAAAGGTTCTCGGTGGGATGATATGATATGATATGATGCCATGAACCCCCTAAACTCCAGGCCTTTCAACGGTAGAAAGAGATCAAGAATCCATGTTAGGTATAGCTGCTCAGCCCCACAATCTCAAATTAGCTTGAAAATGAAGAACTTCTAAATGCCTTCAGCTTCACTTGACAGCATTGTAAACAAAAGTAAGCTCATAACGATATGGATGAAAAAGCTTATGACTCTAGTATAACAGCTTTTCAACGGTTTACCTCTCTTCTGGTAATCATGTGAAGGCATTATATAATGAATTATTGAAAGCTAAAAGTATCTTTTACCCTTCGTTTCCATTACTAAGCAAATCACCGCAAACCTTTCATCTAGACCTTTTATCTGGAAACAAAAAACTTATAGTACAATACCGCGCGCTATCCCAGTATAAACTGCCAAGAGGGTCAGTTTTTCAAGTACAAATCACCGAATAATACATAATGGCTTGGTCAGATTTGGGTATTCAGGTTGGTAATTCCAAAAAATGCGTCTCAATGATGTTCCGAGCTGGAAGAAAACTAAGTGGCATGCTGCTTTTGTTTCCTACACGTGTTTCTAATCTTGGCAATTGATTTGGTTCCATGGAATCGGCTTAATGTCGGTTCACATTCTGTTATTTTATGACATCCAAAACATCCAAACCATACAAACGCCCGCTGCGCCGTTCCCTTCTTGGCCTCAGAAGTAAGACATGGAAATGTTTCCCGTCGCCTTGAGCCCTCGTGATATTCACAAGAATACCCAGTATCAAATGAAATGACCAACCACATTTCTGGTTCATTACCCGATACAAACCCTGCCTACTTGTACATGCATTAGATGCACAAGCACAAATGACCATCAATAATCTTACCCCGCCAAGTGAGGGGAAATTGAGTGAATATTGGGAACCATGATACCTCGGAATAGTAACAAGTTACAACAACTCGTCCCAAGTGTTCATCGGTCACACTCTCGGACCGATTGTAATGCGAGTCGAGTGTCCCTGTTGGTGCAAGATTCGGAGCACTTCATCCCTTGAACCATTCAAATGAATAGGAACATAGTCGTCCCTAGCCTCCGAATGATAAACCCAGCAGCCCCAGATTCTTGGATCCCGCTAATCGGGTATATGCAAATGCAAGGAAGATTTCCACCTTGTCTGATAATCTGGGGAAACTTCGTGTATTTCATGATTTTCCAATTGGATTCACTGCAGTATGCAGTCGAAGCATAGCTGGTCTAGGTAACCCGAGCTGCATGATGCCGTGCGAAATTGTGCAAAAATTAACACACTGCACTGCACGAAAGTCTAGCTTCCAAGTGAATCATATGCAGAGGAGATTTTCGTTCCCTCCACAATTGCTACAAATCCCCGCACTTCCCCACAGATTGAGAGAGCACATCGTCTTCTGCTTCTCTCTCCTTCAATCTCAGAAAACTTTTGAGGGATTGCTATCAAAATGAGGTCTCAATTGTCAATTGCGTTGATTGCAATCTTTGCAGCTTCTACCTCTGCTCAAAATGACGGAGACTTCTCTCCTCCTAGTTATCCATCCCCGTGGATGAATGGTAAGGGTGATTGGGCAGATGCATATTCTAAAGCAAAGAAATTCGTTAGCCAGCTCACCGTTCTTGAAAAAGTGAACCTGACCACCGGTGTTGGTTGGGAAGGGGAATCTTGTGTGGGAAATACTGGTTCAATTCCGCGTCTTAATTTCCCCGGCCTCTGCTTACAAGATTCTCCTCTTGGTATTCGATTTGGTAAGTTCTCTTGTAAAGCAGAAGCTACATATGGCTAACCAATTTTAATTAGCTGATTTCAGTTCTGCTTTTCCTTCTGGAATGAATGCTGCCGCAACATGGAGTTATGATTTGATAAATGCTCGAGGTTATGCTATGGGAAAGGAACATCGAGGAAAGGGCGTGGACGTTCAATTGGGTCCTGTAGCAGGTATGCTAGTCGTCCAGAGTCGATTCAATGCTCGATGTCATTAAATCGAACTAGGTCCACTCGGAAGAGTACCTGAAGGTGGAAGAAATTGGGAAGGGTTCAGTCCAGATCCTGTCCTTACAGGAATTAGCATGGCGGCAACAGTTGAAGGAATTCGTAAGATTATCCACCCATTGTTTTCTTTTCGGTTCTCATGGTGTGCACACCAGTCTAAATCTCTCCCATTAATCATTTCTTATGCACATTGCAACGCGAAACTTGAATTCCTTTCTCTCACAAACCTCATGTCGAATGATCACTGACAATCTGATTCTCAGAGGATGCCGGAGTCATCGCTTGCGCAAAACATTTTATCATGAATGAACAAGAACATTTCAGAGAACCAGGTGGCTCAAATGCTGCGTACTCTGCAAACTTGGATGACAAGACCATGCACGAACTTTATTTATGGTTAGTGAGAAAACCTTCGTCCACCATCTTGACTAATCATTACATAGGCCATTTGCAGACGCTGTTCGAGCAGGAGCTGGCGCTGTCATGTGCTCATACAACCGAATCAATCAAAGTTATGGATCAGAAAATAGTTGGACGCTCAATTATTTGTTGAAAAATGAATTGGACTTTCAAGGTTTTGGTATGTAACTTGAACCGTGTGCAGGATTGAGCATTAATGTAACTTAACAGTCGTGAGCGATTGGTGGGCACAACATTCTGGAGTTGCCAGTGCATTAGCCGGACTAGAGTAAGGTTTCCAAATCCTTGACGACATAAACCGAGCTAATCACACTGTAGCATGACCATGGCTGGAGATCAGAATCTTGCTTCAGGCAATACATATTGGGGCACTTGGCTTACGAATGCCGTTCTCAATGGCACCGTCCCCCAGTGGCGTCTTGATGATATGGCCGTTCGGATCATGTCAGCGTATTACAAGATCGGCAGAGATACAGCTAAGGTTCCAGTGAACTTCAATTCTTGGAACCTGAGCACGTATGGTTACCAGCATCCACTTGCTAACGAAGACTTCACCCAAATCAATCAACATATCAATGTGCAAGATAACCATGCCGCACTTATCCGCGAAATTGGGGCTAAGTCAACCGTTCTTTTGAAGAATACGAAAGGTGCACTGCCGCTGGATAGACCAAGAAGTATAGCTATTATTGGAGAAGATGCTCACGACAATCCCGGTGGTCCAAATGCCTGTGGAGATCGTGGTTGCAATATTGGCACACTTGCAATGGTATGTACTACCCTGTGAATTGGAAGAAGTCTGCTAACCACTGTTCATTATTATAGGGTTGGGGTTCTGGCACCGCAAACTTTCCATACTTGATCGCTCCTGTTACAGCATTGAAAGCTCAAGCTGCAAAAGATCATACAGCTATTAGGAATGTCAGCAACAATTACGATTTTGCTGCCGTCGCCGCAGCAGCAGAAGGAGCTTCGGCCGCAATAGTATTCGCAAATGCAAACGGCGGAGAAGCTTACATCACCGTCGATGGTAATCAAGGAGACAGAAACAATTTGACTTTGTGGGGTAATGGAGATGCTCTCATCGATTATGTCGCATCCATCAACAAAAATACGATCATTGTCCTTCACACAATCGGACCCGTCATTGTTGAAGCTTACAAGAACCATCCCAATGTAACTGCCATACTTTGGGCAGGATTACCTGGTCAAGAATCTGGAAACTCGATTACAGACGTCTTATATGGTGAAGTGAACCCACAAGCAAAATCCGTCTTCACGTGGGGAAAATCTCGTGAAGACTACGGAGTGGATGTCGAATACACTGTCTCCTCCCCGGATCCACAATTGAACTTCAATGAAGGCGTATTTATCGATTACCGTCACTTCGACGCCGCGAATATCGAGCCATCTTACGAATTTGGTTTCGGCCTCTCCTACACCACTTTCTCATACTCCAATCTGCGTATCCAACGTCAATACGCCGCTCCTTATATACCCACAAAAGGAAAAACATCATCGGCACCAACATTCGGCAAGATAAATTACAATGCATCAGCCGCACAATTCCCACCAGGATTCCATAAAGTTCCTCTTTATGTGTACCCATATCTCGATGGTCCCTTGATCACAAATCAAAGCGATCAAGCCCCTCCTCATTCGAAAGATAGCACACCACAGCCCCTTCTTGCGGCTGGTGGTGAACCAGGTGGTAATCCGGGGTTGTATGATGTACTGTATACTGTTTCCGCCAAAGTCACCAACACTGGCAAGGTATCTGGGACGGAAATCCCTCAACTTGTATGCATCCCCTTCTTCCCCTCCATCTACATCCCTTCATTCCTATCAATATCATCAGCTAGCATACTAACGATTCAAATAAATAGTACATATCCCTCGGCGGTCCCACCGATCCTAAAGTTGTCCTACGAGCATTCGATGACATGCAGCTAGAACGTCGTGAGAGTGATACCTTTACATATGGAATCACGAGACGCGATATTAGTAATTGGGATCCAGTAAACCAGAATTGGTTCATCAGTTCGTATCCCAAGAAAGTGTATGTGGGAAGCTCGAGTCGAAGTCTGGTCTTGAGTGCTACTTTGCAATAAAGGAAGGGGTTATTTGCTTTGGGATATGAGGTTAGGTATGGGAGAAGGGGGAAAACGTAGTACAGAGAGTTGTTGAAATCTAAATGTCTACTTTGGTTCATTATCTCAATGTTCAGATGGTGATTGAGAGATGCTTTTGTGAAATTGTTTGACGCTGTTCTCGTTTAATATCGCTGTTTAGACAGGCTTTCTCGTTGCCGATCAAGATACAAGATCCCGTATAGAAACCATACTAATTCTGCTTAAAAAAATTACCCCCATTTTTCCATTTTCGCTGACCTGACCCATACTCCATCATCCAAACATCATATTAACCAGAAGTTTGCCTTTCCCGCGCCCTTGCCTCTTTTCTTTCTCTCTTTCTTCTTGCCTGTCTGCTTTCGATTATCTTAGGTTCCTCTTCTTCATCTACCGGTGGATCAAAAAATACATTAAAAATCTTAGAAAGCATTTCAAACAGTGTCCTGGGAATGAAGCACAGAATTCTCACAATGCACTTAAGAACCCATACTACCGTCTTCCAAAAAACTGTAAGTATACCTTTGGACACCCAAAGGCAAAATTGCAGCAAATATTTGGCGATTTGGCCACGATTTGCTATAATATACTGGCAAACTGCAAGGATTTTTGCTGATACCCATGTGCCCATTGTAAGAGGAAATCTTGAGATCCAGGAGACAATTGCTATGATGTACACCATGATTGCAATTGTTTTTCGGGATATACATGTGCCACAGTTGAAGAGAATGCCTGCGATCCAGCAGACACTTGCTGCCATGTACTGGTAGATTGCAATTGCTGTTTGGGATATGCATGTGCCCCAGTTGGAAAGAACTCCTGCAATCCTGTAACCAATTGCTACCATATTTTGGTAGCCTTCAATGATTCTAGCAGCAAGCCACTGGGTACCTCGAAGTATGCTTTCTACTGACCACCTGGCACTAGTCCACAGTCCTTGGGCCATCCATTTACTATCGACATACAATCCTCCTGCATACCATGTTGCATAGGAAAGCTGCTCTTTTGCGATCCATTTAACACACAACACAGATTGATTTCCTGTTAATAAAATGGCACGCCATCTTATAGGAATAATCTCAATCATCGAATTTCCTCCTGGTCCCTGAACAGCGGGCCTATCATCACCCCTCATAACCCTAGCGCATTTTCCCATCAGATGATCGCTCAGAGCACCGTAATTGCAAGCACCATCCATCCAAACAGAAACGAAGATTGAGAATTCTATAAGTTGAGAATTGGCCAAGTTGGGGGTAGAACTGTGGTTGCGAATCTTGGCGGCTCCGAAGGGCACGTGGGTTCTGAGTGCTACACCTACGGCGCTTGTGAATGGGAGGTTAGAGAGGAACTCGGTTCCTAGATACCGGGTGGTGATTGCCAGGAGACTAACGATTTCAAGTATGGATAGGATGAGGGCGAGGAAGAGACATCTGCCGAGCCCGAGATAGGTGAAGGCGGTGCCGTAGGGTTTCAAAAAGAAATTGAAAGATGAGAATAGAGTGGATGATAGCCATGAGGACTGCGAGGAAAGTGAGGTTGACGAAGGTGTCGCATTGCCAATACCAATTACACTATAGGAGTCCATTTTAATGAAGGAGAGGAGACTAGACGACTAGATAAGTAAAATTTCCATGATCTGCTTACCACGTGAGAAATCTTACCTGGGAGGTTGAAGTGATCGAATAATCGTGTAGGATACGCTTGAAAAGCTGACTCTTCTTTCTTTTTATTCCCATGTACCAAATATATGTTCAAGTAAGTAAAATATGCTGTGTTAAAATGTACATTTCACCAAAAAATAATTGTAGTAGATGCAAATTAAAGAGTTGATTAATTATTTGAGAAGAGAAGCAAGGTTTAGATTGAGGCATATGTTCATAAGAGAAAGTAATTCCTTCCTTCCTTCTTTATGCTATCTAGGTATTTGTAAGTTCCTGCCACTTTTTGAAGAGCACATCAAAGGGAAAGATGGGAAAGAAAGAAACAAACGCGCATGTAGAAGGAAGATCGTTCTTGCCTAGTATCAAATTCTGAGGGGTATCATTACACCCAATACCTTTTGCAAATAATTCAAATCTAATTAATTCCCCCATTTTCAAACATGGTGCCAATGCGATGTATCTCCTGAAACCAAAAGGTACTACCTCATAAAATGCTAACCACCTTTGCACAATATCTTCTTCGCAATTCATCCACCAGTTCTAGACAGTAGGTTTCCCCAAATCTCCCAATCGACTAATATTCCGCAAATCAAAACCTCCGCAAAACTTTCCAGGACCTATCGCAGTTTCAAATCTTGTATAATAGACTAAACTAAACGCAATATCCCAAGCACTTCCTTATAACCACATCTCCATGAGATCTCATGACATTTCCTGTCCAAAGGGGCCAATTCCTTTGGAGCCATAGCCACAAATCCATTCCTCCAACCAAACTCTAAACCAACTACTCAACCCAGCAAAAAGGAAAAGAATTGGAAAATGAAAAGGAGGAGCCCATCGACTTTATAATCCGCATCTCATCTCTGCAGGAGAAAAAATCCCTGTCTGGCTATCGCTCCAGAGTCCAGTTCATCTGGGAAGGCATATGAGGGTATTTGGGAGCCTTTAAACCTTGGTTCCGAATTGGTTCATTGCTCAAGTAAAAGGAGGAAGCTTGGTGATTGATAGCTTTGGGTGAAGCGTTAGATCCAGAAGCTATTGAGGCGTTGGGCGGACGAGACGACGAGTTTGTTCGTTTTGATCTGTTGCGCGAAGCCAGGGTAGATGGAGGGTATGGACTTTTTGTCGGTTAACAGGTGATGAGGTGCTTCGACGGATAGGTGAATCGCCGTTGTTGCTATCTGCATTGTATGACCGGATACAATAAGTTAGTTGAGACCTCGCTCACGCTATCTCATCCGTCGTGGGCATAGTATAGCCCATCATAGCCATAATACCCCAAGTCTTCGTCAGTAGCTTGACTACTGCGGCGAGGTTTCTGGAGTGCTCGAGCAGTCACCACTGGTGGCGTTGGTGTCCTTGAAATCTTCATGTTTATTAGTACAATATCTTTTCAATAGTCAACAAGGATCTGAACTTACCAGTGATACAGGGCGAAGTCGCTTTCTGCCCTGTTGTTCGGCAACTTTCTCCTCTTTCTCGTAGTCACTGAATGTGCGCTTCGTGCTTTGAGCCGGATCAACCACAGGACTAGCCTCTGGGCTATGGACGTTATCAGGTACGCTATTGATCCAGTCCTGTGCAAAATCGAAATCGTGGACTTCCCATGCTGGATGAGCTCTCTGCTCATTCTCGTCTTCATGACGCTTCTGTAAATCTATGAAGAACTTTGCCAAGGCGAAGTTCCTCTTCTTGGAATCTCGAGAGTATAAAGCGTACAGTCGACCTACGTCGTCTTCATCCTGAAGTTCGTGGTGGTAACTGTTTTGTTCCGAAGGTTCTCTTTGATCGCTTGGGACCGCAACGTTCTCGATCTTCCAGGTACTAGCCTCGGAATCTGGGACGCTCTCTTGCAATTGGCCATGAGTATCGTTGGCCTCAGCATGGATCTGCTCTTCATCCTTGAGAGATACCGGGTGGTAGATGAAAGGACCTTTGTTCAACTCCTCCCGTGCCTCGTTGTAATCATCCTCGAGTTCTCGGATTTTGTTGAATTGATTGGTGACAATATCCTGCAATTCGAGATTGTACTGCTCGATGTGCTTCTGCTTCAAGATTCCCAAGCGGATTCGATCCTCTATCACAAGATTCTCAGCAACCTTTTGTTGTTGCTCGGCTAGCATCTTTTGGTGAGCATCCCATGCATCACCGATCGCTACAGCTTGTTTCTCAAGCTCCATCATCTCGACCCTATACTCTCTCTCCAGAAGCTCCTGGGTTCTCGTGACCTCATTCAGTCTTCTTGCATACAATACTCGTTCTCTCTTGAGATCAGCATGTGTTTGGATATTCTCAGGATCGTATGGTCGATTGGTAGCTTCGTCGAGGCGGGATATGATGGATTGGAATCTCTTATCCTCAATCCCCATCGCATGTGTATGGTTATATTGCAAGCTCTGGAGGGCTTCTTGGATTTCGAAAAGCTTTTGAAGGTTTGGATCATCTTCTTCAAAAGGAGCGGGCTCACGAGAATAGAAAGCCTCGATTCTCTTTTGTAGGACAACGGTGGGAATTTCGGGGAAGTGATTCTCCTCGGGATTGGCGACATAGGCGTGAAGTTCCTAGAGAACTATTAGAGGCTGATGATGTCAATACCAGGAATCACGAGATATACATACGATTACGTCGAATATCTCATCCTCTTGGTTCTCCAATGCGTCCATGAAGAGTTCTTCAGGAGCATCGAACCAGAGATCATCATCGAAGTTATTGAAGGCTTTCTCTGAATCAAAAATGATAGACATGGTGGCGATGTTCGGTTGTTAAGTTGGTGGGTGTAGGTGGGTTGTAATGAGAATCACGATAGCTGTCGTGAAGAATTGTATGTAGGAAGTGTAAGTAGGAAGTGTAGTAAGTCTTCTCGATATGAAGTTAAACCAGATATTAAAAAAATCTTGAAAGGAATCAGAATCAAATCGGTAGAAGGAAGTCCTCTTAAGCTGGCCGACTCGGTACTTTTCTCTACGGATATCTAGTACAGCTACTTCAACTATCTGTAATAGGTTGGGAACAATAGGTTTACTGTACTATTCAATACAATCGCCTCAATAAATTCAATAAGAAGCCACAGTAGCGAGCCGTACTAATAAGATTCTATTGTGCTGGCGAGTGGCTGTACTATTCACTTCTTTTGATAGAACAATAGATAAAAAGAATTGGGGTGGGAATTGGCGTCGCTTGGTTCAGGTGGGTGTGAGGAAGTGATTGGTGACTAAGATTGGATGATGAGATGAATTTTTATACGAGTAGGTATTCATTATAGAAAAGTTGACTTGGAGGAAAAAGGACCGAAAGTGAGGATCAGAAAACTTGACTTGAGAACTTTTGCCGCAACGGAGTTGGAAAGGTGGAATTGTTGAAGTTGTTTCATTATTTTTGGGTCACTCAGTAGGATTTATATATATAGAATTGTATCGCATGCTCGAGTTGTATATACAAACTTGGGAGGCGGATGAGCCTTTGGTAAAACCTCACGCGCTGAAGTCAAGAGAAATGGTAGAATATGCTCGATTGCCAAAATTATCCTTCTTTGTATAGAACATCAGAATGAAGTACAGTTTGTATCAAAGAACGGTGGGTTAGAAGAGGAAAAGCCCCTTGAATGTAAATACAGAGGTTGAAGAAAAACAGTTTATAAATTGGGGGATCATGTTCTTAAATCTAGGAATTCCCCACCACCCTGTAATGCCATGCCAAAAGGCTCCATCGATATTTGTTGTGAGTCATTAAACCAACTAATCAAGCGGCTCACGCTTGATACGCTTCTCGTCGTGCATCTCTTCTTCACGCTTGATATGCTTCTCTCCCTGAGCCTCATCTTCACGCTTGATACGTGCCTCTCCCTGCGTATCTTCTTTCCCCTGATATTCATCGAACCTGCGCTTGTGAGCCGCACCAGTGACCTCCCATTCATTTCTTGATCTGTTATATATCTCACCCCGCATCCCACGTGTTTCCAGCTCAATGACCCAACTTGCCTGCTGCTGCATGCGTCTCGCCTGTTGATTGACCTCAACCACAACTTCACTGATCCGAGTTCTCTCCTCGGCCAACTCTCCCTGATGTATCTCATTCATGCTCCTGGCCTCGTGTAACAGCCGGCAAGCCTCGTGCAAACGACGTCTCTCCAATCTGAGCTGTTCACCCCGAGACCTAGATTTAAATCGCCACTCACGAGCTTGAACCTTGTAGTGGTCCCATTGTGCTGCCACACGATCGATAGTCATAGTAACTTGTTGTTGGTCAAAATGGAGACCCACAGCACCCCCTTCAATAGCGCGCAACCTCTCGTTTTCCTCTGTAAGACGAGCGAAACGGCGATCAAGGTACTGATTATCTGCTTGGAGACCAGAGATTCTCTGTTCCAGTTCATTTTGACAGCGTAATGTATTTCGGAGGCGACGTTGTGTCGCGACAGTTGCTTCAAGGTTTCGTGCATGCTGCTGCTGTTCGTCCCGTCCTTTGACCCACTTTGACCTAATTTCCTCGGCCTGTTTGGCAAGTACAGACATGATGTCAATGTACTCTTTTTCAAGACGTGCCTTCGTCTCACGGCAAGAGTCAATCTTCTCAACGACCAAGTCCCTCTTTCTCTTGCAATCGGAGCCGGTGTAGATATTATCTATCTCGTATGGAGTTTTCTTGATGACCGAAAGTTGGTTTGCAAACGCATCAATCATGGAATCTTGCATCTTGATTTCCTCTTCATGGCCGTTTTGCAAATCGATAAGTTTGTTGCTAATCCGCTTGAGTTGAATATATTCCGCATCAACACTTTTAAACTGTTTCGCTGTAACAAATGTGACGATTTCGTTGAAAAGGGTTATTGCAGGGATGACGGGAAAATGACCTCTGTCCGCATTGCCAACGTATTTATTCTCCTTTTCGTCTGTTAGAGAAGATGGCCTCATGAGGTAAAGATCAAAAACTTTAATCTACTCACAGAGAACCCGACAAGTACATTTTGATCCTCTAGGGCATCAAAATACTCCTCAATCTCTTGCTCTGCTAGGCCAAGGGGCGCGTCGTACCATGTATCCTCATCTCCAAAAATATGATCGGGATGATAGGGAGATTCCATCTTGTCAGAGAATGATGTAGATGTTATCGCAAAGAGTAACTGCATGTATAATTGTAGTGTACAATATGGGTTCGCAATGTAGATGAACTTGAATTTGAATTGGATGGCTTTAGTAAAATTCTTTAGAGAAACAAAATAACAAAGGTGGGAAAAGTCTTTTTAAGCGTTCCGCTACGGCTACCTTTTTCGTTATACATATCGCGCCGTACTATTAACTGTTTTCTCGCTTGGCCAATGATATTGCAATAATTTGTTGCAACAATATAAATGCCATTTTGGCTAGGCTGTATTCTATTGTGATTTCACCTCACTCTATCTATCCACTTGAACAATAGACAATAATTTTTATTTTTTTATTGTTGGCACATGTACTCTGACTCGCGTAATTAAAGAGGGGTGTTGGAAGTGAAAGGGGGTAGATTGTGGGGCAATAATTGAAGACCAAGACGAAGACTTGAACGATTTTCGCAAATGAAGATTAACACTAACCTTGAGGAGGAGTATTCAGCTTTGAAACCTTCCCACAAAGTCGAATTCGACTTCCTGGCATTGATTGGCAGAGATTTGAGAAGGTAATTGTTCATTTCATTATAATCCTTGTGTCTCGCAAATGAAGTTGTCTAATGCTATTGAATAGTTTCAAGACGGAGTAAAGATGAAGGATTTGAAATCTGCCAGTGCAAAGCACTATGTATAGTAAAAGCTTGATTGTCTTTTAGCTGTAACGAGCTCCCAACACATATGAAGACACAAGGCTCTACTCAATAAATCTTCAGTGGTTTGTCACGGATGAAAGAACAAACTCGCACACACACCTCTGATGTGGAGCCATAACAGACAACGAAAATCCCTTACGTGCATATTAAACCAATCTTCCACGGATGAGCAAAATGGATTGCATTGTGAGTAGCTGAGGTCGAATGGTAGTAAGAGGTAGTCGTCTCATTCTTGAACAGTTTGTTAGGAGGTACTAATTCTGGCTTGGTCTGAAATGTTTTACCATTGATTGTTGAGAGCAATTTCAAACTCGCGCAAACTACTTTAATACAAACGGCTTTGTCGGATACTTGCAATATGCTTCCGCTGTGGTAGAAAATGTAGGTTAAAGCAATCTTGTCTATGATACTAGTATTGAATATGGGGTCAAAAAAAGAGGAATTGCAAATTAACTATGGGATATCTAAGTGAGGGAGGGAAGGGGGGAGGATTGAGCTTTAGATGTACAAAATGAGGAGGAATATGATGGTAGTAGTGTCAAGATCTCATGTAATTCGATTCAGTCAAGCAAAATGAGGGAAGTCTATAAATCTCCACTCTCAGAATCTGCACAAAATCTATCAATCACTTCATTGCCCAGTGTAGGGCGCAAATTCATAAGTTCACAATGCTTGCTCGAGTAAAGATTATAATATGTTTATAGTAGTGCATTAATCATCTAGTCGAAGAAGGCAATTATGTGAAGTAAAGAAAACATAATATCCTCAAGCCATCCTCAAGCAAAAGAAATACCCTTCTGCATACCATCTTATAAAAATCCGTTCCTCCGTCTTCAAAGTTTCGAAGAACAATGAACAGAATAGACCACCAGAGTTTAATATATCCATCCTTGTAGTATGTTAAAGGTCACCGAGGAAGGTAGGAGCATCACTTCATTGCTTGAGAGGAATCAACGCGCCATGTAAGTCCTGGAGGCACAGAAAACTTGTCCTTCCCTCCATATAGACCATCTTATTTCTAGTAATAAGATTAGCAATTTTGGCATGCAGCTCCCAAGAGAAAGTACTCACATCATATCACATCGATGCATAAGAAACTCGACCCGACCAGCAGTACCTTCATCTGCACCTTCCTCACCAACGTCACTTCCGAATCCGAAAAGTTTCGCTTGGCTTTGAAGCTCAGCGAATTGCCGACTGCGGTAAACATAACGATAAGCAAGCGATACGTTTGCAAAGAGTTTGTATAGCCAAGGTATTATAGTAAATCCTTCCAATGTGGGACACACTCCTTCGCAATGCGCATTCCAGAGCATCTCCCACAAGGACTCTTACGATCACACAACTTTCTCATTCGCATACATGAGGCACAACGAGGTGGTCGCTTCGGGCGTGGTCCAGGAAGAGGTGAAGATGCGGTCTTGGCACGCTTGGGAGGAGACATTACTGAGCTAGAAGTTGGTGCTGCTTCGGGTCTGTACATATGGCCGATTGTTTCGGCATTCTGTGTTCTGGTATTAAGTGTTTCGGTAGTGGGCGATGGAGATGCGGGCCGTTTTCTGTTCTTGGGCATACGCGGTACCCATTTCTGTGCGCGGGGTTTGCGTTCAACTGAGCGTCCACAACGAGGAAGTGGCGAGCTCTGTTCCTCTGGTCGTACCTTTGGCGGAGAAGAACTCATCTGGTAACCCATCTCTACATAGTAGTCGGTGATTGTCGTGCGTTTGGGAAGAGTGGTAACTGTCTGACGCCAGTGCTCCTCATCTTCTTCCTCCTGTTCCGCAGTAAGGCGATAAACAACCCCTCCATCACCATTGTAGTCTCCATCTTTGTCGTCATCCACGTTGACATATCCATCATCCATTTTCGCGTCCATGCCTTCCTCGGTTGCACAGGTCTTGCCAAATCTCTTGGGAACTATTGGCACACGCTTATGCAGTTCTCCAATTCTCTTGTTGAGGCTAGTAAATGAATCTCGAATAAATGTGACATGGTCCTCAGCCACCCTTCCTAAATACCTTTGCTTAACCAACTCTTCAAGGAACTCGCCCTGTCGGTATTCGGTTTTGGCTTGATTCGCTGCCGAGGTAAGGCTGAGGGTTTGAAATCGGGGTATCACTTCTGAGAATCTGTGTGCGGGGTTGCTGGGTCGGTCTGTCATCTGACTGGGGACTCGTTTCGAAGACATTGTTCAGAGGGAGGGGTGAGCGAGAGGGTGTGCTTAGAAAGTTTCAATGCAAAAGCCTTGATTTGGAGGTCGAGAAGAATGCTAACTCCCTGTTCTGCGAAGTAGCAAAGGAAAATTGCTATGGAAAGAAAATTGATTGGAAGAATCTGACTCAAAGACTATATTTAATCGATCTAACAACACAGTCAGAGGTGTTGTGCTAGAATATTTTCACTTTTCAGAATTCTGCCATGCTTCGGTTAAAAAATGGTAACCAATGCAAATATTTTATTAGGGTGAGGAAAATAGAAATCTCATATGAAAGCAAAGGTGAAGTACTGCAGTTCTTTTATTACGGCTATTCAATTTCTTTCAAGAAAGCCGCATCTTTGCTTAAGTGGGTGGTGATACATGATGAAGCTATTTGATAGATTTGACCGTAGCCTTGTCGATATCGTCTCATATTTGGAAGGCTATGGCTTCGAGACAATGATTTGTTTGTCTCTACCTATTCACTTATGAAGAGCCTTTCTTTTGAATAATTGCTCTACTCGGAAAGTAGATAGACGTGCTAATACTTTTATCTCAGTTTCAGCTTTCGAAATCTGACGATGCAGTATTTGGAGGATGAGTCCCAGCATAATGCACTCATAGATAATACATATAGAATTTCTACACTCCACTTCCTCTCTGTACAAATGTAGTGTGGTTAAGTAGAGTTTAGGCTGAAGCCAACACCCATTCGTCCTACAATTGAACTTTTTCGCAATATATTTCGAAATTTAGATTTGGGAGAGGGAGTGGGGGCAGCCAACTATCAACAATACTGGCAGATTCCCAAGGAACTCTTGTTGCTTCGATTTCAAACTTGATGAATGGATAGTGTATCAGTTACTTTATTGATCTATCACTCTGGGTTGTGAGGAGGGCTCTGGTAACATTTGGCTACTACACCATGACTAATCTGGCAATATTCATAGATGAATATGAATGAAATATGGGTGAATGAGATGGAATCAAGAAAACGTCAAATACATCAAAGAACAAAACTCATCTTGATTATGCCTGTGAAAATATTCTTCACTACCAAACTTTTGGATGAACATGTAGCATGCCAAGATTTCACGTGACTTCCATGATGGATTTCACACAATTACAATGAGAAAAATATTTGAATCCAGTGTCTAGAATTGCTATCACATATCCTGTGTATCTGCTTTGACCTGAATATCCTATAAACTAAATCCAGTTGTGAAAATAGGTTTCAAGATGTCATGACTGAAGTCAAAGCATCAAAGCACAACGCTAGTGTCGCTAACCCTTAAACCGAAATACCTGCACAACATAGTGTAAATCACACCCAAAACCTTGATGAAAGAAACATCGAAGTAATCCTCAGAGTTAGATGCCCAAACAATTGTATAACCTGGCCTTGGCAACGAGTGGATGTTATGAGCAACTGAAATAGGAAGATGCAGTGCCCTGCCTTCTTTTGGATGGAGTGCCATCATCGATATCTTCAATCACATCACCTAATTTTCTTTTGAGACCAGCCATTTTTTTCTCCAGGTTTTTGTTCTCATTGACCAATGCCATGTGTTTCTTCTCCCAGCTCTCGTTTTGGCGTTTCGAATTATTGAGAACCTCCTCCCTCTCTGCTTGGCATGCTTTCAATTTCCCCTCCAACTGAAGAACACTTTCCTGGTATTTATCGATTTCGGTGAAAGAAGATAACATCTCAAAAGCTTTGTTTGTGGTTTCGGGTGAAGATCTCAACTGCTCTTTGACACCCTCCAGTTGGCTCTCGTTCTGGCGGATTTGTCCCAACTCATTCTTCAATGCTGATAGCTCAAACTCATTTGCATCCACGGTACATTCTAAGTTGTTATTTGCCCTATCAGATGTCTCATTCTCAGCCCTAAGTTTCTTATTCTCCTCGATCAATTCCGTGATTCTAGTCTCGAAGTCTTTGTGATGGTTTTGGGCGATGGTGACTGCTGGCTTGATCTCTGCTGCGCTTCCTTCTTCTTTTGTGTGATTATGACACTGGTCTTTCTGGGTTTGCATTTCCCGCTCTGTTGGACCAAGAATGTCTGTCAAAGACTGAAGTGTCTCTCTGAGAACGAGGAGATATCTCATAACCTTTTTCTCATCATCCACATGGCGCAGAACCCTGTTAATTTGAGACAACGCTTCTGCGATCCAAGAGTTGCGCCGAGTAGGTAGAGCAGGTCTAGGAACAGTGCATCCGACCTTTGGTTTGTTGTTGACACCTCTCCGCGCAACTACACTCTCGTTATTTAGAATCTGCTGAATTGTTCCCCCTTTGTCTTTGCTGTAGCGCAACACTACGAGTAAGGTCTCTTTCATCATTGTTTGGAGTTTGGTTTTAGTAGTTCGTTTCAGAATTTTATTGGAGGGAAAGATCTGGAATTTTCAAATTAGCAATTGCCCAAGGTCAGGTTATGATATTCGAGATACAAACCCAATCTTTACGACTTGTGAGATAAGGACTTCAACTTCAAGACAAAAATTGTCTGAGGTAAACTGATTGTTATGTGACCATTGACCAAGTTTTCCTCTTGAGTTTGTGTTAATGGGAAAAAATCTTGTAAGACAGATGGACACCTTAGTTGCTAGCTCCCTGGTGACCCCACAAAAATATGTTTGTTGTCATCGAGAATTATAGAAACAATTATATAAGACTACTGCAACAAGCAAAGAGCAAAGGGGATATCTAAAACTATAATTAATATTGTCAAATGGTGTCGGTTGGTTCAAGCTCACAAATATAAGTTAGCATATTCATTAAAGAAGAATTTAATTTAGATCATATTCACATCATCAATGCAGTTTAAGTCTCAAGGCCCCTCCCTGTCCAATGAACTTTATTACTCTTGCTATAGTAGATTACTGTGTGAAAGAGCAGCTTTCTCAGTCGCAATGTCCTTCATCAGAACTTTTTGTGGAAGCAATTCGAAGATCCTAAGATAAAAGAAACCGTCATCCTAGCCAATTCCCGCAAATTCTGCCCTTGAAGCAAAGTAACAATGTGCCAGGTACTGACATGATTCCTGAAGACAAGTTAATATAATAAAAGCCTTTTCATTTGAGTTCAACTCACCTTAATCAATAGCCTAGAAGATCATTGGACTATTCAAGCAATCAAAACATATCAGTTTACGGTAGTCCAGAGACCTCTTCTGCGTTCCGGACGACTTCTTGTGCTTGGCTGAGGACTTACCCAAGCGTCAGAAAATGCCCTGAGGATGATTAGATCAGCTCTCTCTTTCCAGCCATTTCTCGTGAAGAAGTCGCTGTCAAGTCGAAATTGCTTCCTAACTCTCTTCTTGATAGTAGAAGCTCTAGCTACAGTTTTATGCGTGCGAAATATCTGACCGGTGGTAACGATCAGAGCTTGTCGAATTTCCTCCATATCTGGGATTCGAGCTCTTGGTGGAGGCATACCATCATTGGTGATGGTTCGATTGCAATTTTCCCAGGTTGTCGGGTCATCAAAATCGAAGGGAGTTTGATTAGCCGCTTCTTGAATCGCTGCTTCTTGACGTATTGCTTCTCGGTGCGTAGCTTCTTGACGTGCAGCTTCTTGACTTACTGCTTCTCTGACTGCCTCTGCAGCTGCTTCAGCTTGCCTAAGTACTTCATCCTCCTTGGCTTTATGGTGGCGCAACACAGCTTTCAGAGTGCGCGATTAGCATGAATTGAGTTTCTGCAAGATGGAGATGTGAATATACTTACAAGCTTGCAATTCCTTCTTCATATCAATTGGAGATCGGACAATCAACTTGAGATAGACTGGACTGACTCTGATTGCCAAAGTCAATTCTGCTGGCTCCCTTGCAACGATGTGAGAATCGGTGCCTTCAATATCTGAGGTCCAAGGCAAGGTTAGAGCGACAACAAGCTTATTTGGAGCATGTCGCAGAATTCTACACCCTCCCATTTGCTGCATGCTGGATGTGTTGTTTTGCTTATCAGCATAAAAGTAAGATGGGTGAGGTAGATCGACTGGAGGAGCAAAGCTCAATGCATCCATTTTTCGAGATTTATGGTAACTATAATTGCTCTGTACACGAGCTGCAAAATAAGCTCGAAATTTATCAAATTCAGCTCCAAATTCTTGGTAGTGACTATGGAGGTTCTTGGACGGAGATTTGGCTCTAAAACAATTCAGCTTGGCCTGAGAGAAATCAACAATACCATTTTATCTCCTGATGCTCACTGGGTTCCATATTATTGAAGAAGTCTCAAAGTTAAAGAGTGAGAACAGCAAACTTTCCATCAAACTTTCCATGGTATAGCAGACAATATATTCACTTATCATTCAAGATCACACGACTTCTCGCACTCCAAGACCTTGAAACGATGAGCAGCGAGTATGGGTATCGGCAATCATTCGAAATAGAGGATTCACCTTCAAAACGAGTATCAAGCACGAATTGCAGGTAGAACCGACTAGACGTCAAAGAAAATCCGAAAGGATTATGCCTTCGGGTACGATGCGCACAATCATTCCCCAACACCAGCCTACTACTGTGAATTCGTCCCAACTGAAAGGTGATTTAGAGTAGAGCATACTTGGCTCGTCTCAAATTTTCTCCCTATCATCATGATCTAAATCATGATCTACCACGATCAAGTATCTTCTCAAATGTATTCTCGGAACGACAACTCGTTGAAGTGTGTGGCAGTGGCCAAAGTCCAAGTTGTCACCAATGTCAAAGAAGGACTGACACGAGCGCTATAAATGTGCTCTTGATACCACGCCCAATAACTCATGTCCCCGATATCCATAAGTAAAGATCGGGTTAACCCATTGATGAGATATATCAAAAAGACAGGGTCAAGGTATATCGTAATAATTGAGGAGACTCGACATCTGAAACTGGGAGGCTATTAATTAGCCTCATAGGAAGATTATTGAGTCCAAATAGTAACAAATGAACAATTTCCGTACTTCTGCTTCAGCGATAGTGGATGATGTCGTAGAACCATTGAGCTTATGCAGGTGTCCCGTTGAGGAAATTTACATCCGCGTGATCTATGCAAGCCTCCCGATAACCTTGTAGGCCTTGGTCTCCATCTGTAGTCATTCTGTCGCCCCATTCCAGCTTCTGCTCACAGGAAGATTATTATAAGATATTAAGTTGTTCCCACTGTCATTCCGCGCAGTTTTGGCACCCGTTTGCTTTTCCTACTCAGAATTTGTTTCACAAATTGAACTCGGTTGCTCGCCGCATTTTACCTAGCTGCATACACTCTCAACATCTGCTCCAATAAGATGCAGAGTGACGCACAGCACCCTGCAGGGTCTGACTGTACTTAGGAATCATTGGATTATACCAGGTAAGTGGGCAAAAAAAAAGACACGCTAATTTCAGGGCGATAGTCGGGAGACCAGTGCTCTATCTACCATTGGAGGACATTTGAATGTTAACCAAGAGACAACCTTCAATCATATCGACATCACCGAGCCTTACCCACACTATGAGCTTGAAGCCTTTACGCTAGATGAGCAAGTGTATGATTTTGGTACCGCTGCAGATTATAATGACATTCTCTTCAAAGAGATGAACATTGAAATTGACGCCCTGACCTCAACAAATCACCCGTCTATGTCAGTTTGGAGTACTCAATATGCCACTACATCAATACCGGAGGCTGCAATTCATATCCCGGCCGGTATAACTACAGGCTTGGACATCCGTGTACCCAACACAGTTTTACCTTTGGAGTGTAACCTTGAAGTGTCAATGTCCAACATCACGGGGAACAATTGCACATGTAGTCATAAGGAGGAGAAATGTGTACCGAGTCTACTTTTTGGCCCAATGGAAGCCTCTGGTCATCCGATTACTACACCGCAGAGAGTATCAGGACCACTGACAGCTCGCGGGTAAGTCTAAATTGCCTTCTAAAGAGACAAGATATGCTGAAACTCAGCCTTTAGATCAGCAGACACTTCTCGGAGAGCAGCGCGAGGCAGATTGACTTGTCCTCATCCAAGGTGTAATAAAACTTTCCCACGCCAATATGAGCAAGTCTCTTCCCCTCATTTCATGGCGGTAACTTCACGATGTTTCCTAACTCCTCATTTTCTCTCTTCAACATCAAAATCGCAATGTGTGGCTGATCAAGTCATGCTCAAGACTCAAGCGACATACCACGAACATTCATGCTCGAAGCTTTCAGGTAGTCTGCTCTGCTTATGGGTGTCATCGTACTACGAAGCCATTCAAGAGAGCAGACAAATTCATGGAACACTTCAGAAAGCATGGCAATTCGCAAAGTTATCGATGTCTAATGGAGACTTGCCAGTCTGGCTCCTTTGATATTCCTACCTTGACCGATCATCTGGTGATGCAACATTATATGGACTACGATACCCAACAAAACTTTGACTGGATCATGAAAACTGTCTTGAGAACAAACTCGATTCCGTTCTGGTTTGGTCGTGTCTGTTCGACTGGTGGGGATCTGTGCCCACTGGCATCAATTGGCTGCACGTATCGAATCTCGGCTGATGTCGGGGAACGCCGTCATGAATTCGTGATGAGAGCGCATGCTATTACTCACAAACATTCTGATCTCGTGGAAGGAAAAGATCTTCTAAGAGAATTCTTCGCAGGCAAATTGCAGTGGTACCTAGACGAAGGGGTTAAGGATTGCATGCTGTGTTTATTCCAGGTCAGAGGCTTCCACCACCGAAACATATTCTTTACTCACTTGATGGGCAATCATTCCAAAGAAGAACGAAGTTCCGTTCTCAAAGATATTTTCCGCATCGTCGAGATCTATCACAAAAATTTCTGCTATCTTCAGCGCCAAGGGGAAGTACCTAGCGCCGTAGCTCTCGCAAATGAATGCAGAGCGATCGGTCTTAGTTTTCGACTATTAGCTGACAACTTCTTTGATGTGCCCGATCGGCTTGAGAGTACTCAGCATATCGTACTTACCCGGCTTTTATATGCGTAAAGCAGGCTTCCTCGACAGATTCTACTTAGACGTCGTTTGAATCCAGTTCAACGTTTTGAGAACAAACATATATGAACAACAGAATCTTAAAGTGTTAAGGGGCCCGACGAGCAGACATTTTAGGCATCATCAAAATAATGTTTACTGGCTCATGCTTCTTATTTATGTCATTCCCAATTCCATGACGATCGATCCTTAGCAACTGCTCGTCTCATATCACCTCATGATCTAATCACTGATCATTTTGAGTACGAAAATATGTTCATTCGCACTTCGACACAATAGCTCCAACATAAAATGGTAGATTACTTTCAGAAACAGAGGTATCTATTATCGTGTATGTATCTGGCACTCGAATGAAGACTCCATTTTGCTCCCACACCAATAAAAAACAAGCGTGCTTAAACTGCAAATTGGTATCTTGAAGAACGAAGCGATAAAAGGTGCCAAAGAAACAAAGCAGGAACCAAATGAACAATGAAACCAGTATCAAGCAAGCGATGCAGCAAATGGTAGTAAAAGCTCCCCAAAAATCCAGAAGGCAATACAATAGTACTCTCTCCCGCTCCAAACAACTACATCCTAACTCGCTTCTCTGGTCTTTCCTCTCCATCCTCAGAACCCAACGACGGAGACACCAACTTCTCATCATCGTTGGCCTTGCCAGCATCCTTGTTGAGCTTGCCGCTCTCACTCTTCTTCTTCTCCTTCCCCTCTGCAGCCGAGGTATCGGTGCTCAGTCGATTGTTCCCAATGACCTGGAAGTACCAGCTACGATACTGATACGCGTAGCCGTTGGGACCCTCCAGGTCTCTTCTCAACCAGGTCAATCTTTCAATGGCCGAAGCCACAACCGCCACCAAGCTGTTATAGAAGTTTCGCTGGGATGCAAGGAATGCCCGGTCATTTTCGATTTCTTCGCCGTTCACAATCCTCTGAATCGCGGTTACTAGATTGACAACCCGTTGACGAACAGTGAAGAGGAATGGCAGATCGATGTCGATAGATTGCCATCGAGCAGCATTGGGACTATCTTCTCCGTTTGGCATAAAGACCCCGTAGAGTCGTTGATAGTCGCTAGTGAGTTTGAACAAGCGATCTCGAAGCTCTTCGACCTCCTCCAAGGTGACATTAACGAGGGGAACCGCAGGAGCTACTGCGGGCAATTGCTGAGCAGAAGTGACGGCAGGAGTGCTTCTTGCTGGTACTCGAGGACGTGGGTTGAGCGCGACAGGCTTCCGAGCATAACTTTGAACCTGATAGATGTTGTAGCCGAAGTCTGAGATGGTTAATGCGCGGTGCAATGTATCGGGCGACGAAGGCTCCCCATGAAGGGTTTCGCGACGTTGTTGAGAAGGATTTGTGCCAGTAGGGGTCGTAGTTGATGCAGACGGTGGCCCGACTATCTTCTTCCATCCCTTTCCAGGGCCATTGATTGATGGTGCAGACATTTTAGCTACTGTTTTGTACAAAAATAAAGGATAATCCTATGTCAAATGCACACCATTAGTCTAAAAATACAAAGAAAATTACATGTTAGATGAAGAAGAGTGATTTTCAATGAACATACCTAAGTGTACAAGTTGTCGATATTTTAAGAAAGAGAAAGAGTGTGGTCGGGAGAAGTCCTTTTGTAGATCGAAAAGCACAAAAATTCACACTAAAACTGCACGTGGACGGCAAGTAGTGAGCTTGATTTGTATAGGGTTTCTGATCACTCGTAAGATGTTAGTGAATATCTTTATTGCTATAGGATAGCCTTGGCATTACGTGAGAGGTTCGGAGGATAGTATAATAATGTCTGAGATTCAATGATGAATTATAACTTAATTGTTGTGTCTTCTGGAACATTACTTATCTTTTCGTAAAGGACAGCTTTCGACTGTAGGTTATCTTGTCCGATGTTGATAAAAAGTGCTAAGATAAACTCCTAAAGTATATGAAATATAGGACTTTCTCATCTAAAACCATTGAAAAGTAGTAATAGAAGTTTAGTAATAGAAGTTTAGTAAATTGAAAGAATATAGTGCTATCTCGTCTGATATTTATAAGAAGTAATGAGAGAAACATATAATGTATAGAGAATATAGAGCTACTTTATCTAATATTGATATAAAGTAGTAATAGAAGTCTAATAAGTTCAGAAAATTTAGAACTATTTCATTTAATTCTAATGAAAAATGTTAATAGAACTTCTGGAAAGTACAGCAAATTTTAAGCTATCTCGTCCAATTTTGACAAAGAGTAGTAGTAAAATCCAAAACTAGAGAGATGATCTACGCTTATCTCCTTTAATATTAGAAAATAGAGTCATAATAAAGCTTGAACAAGAAAAATAACCTGAGTCTATGTCATCTAATCATAGATTACACACACAA